CATCTGTAATGAGGTCTGGTGCCCTCTTCTGGCCTTCAGGCATACATGCAGACAGAATATTGTATACATAATAAATAAATTTTTTAAAGATATATATTTTTGTTAGTCTCTTTTGTGATTGGACTCTCATTGTATATGGATTAGTGTGACATGTCCACCACCAAAAAGGTCATCAACATGGGTAGCAAAGTACTCTCCCTTTAACTTTTTTCAAACATTTAAAAATGTAAAAGCTGACAGGTGTGGAATATATCTGAGATCCTAGCACTTAGAAGACTTTTGGGAGGAGTATTGGAAGTAGATTAGTATGTGCTACACAGTAAGTCTTCGTGTCAGAAGAAAGGAAGGGAGGGAGGGAAGTCGGGAAGGAGAGATGGAGGGAGGGAGGGAGGGAGGGATAAAGAGCAAATCATTACTCACCCTATGCCAAGACCTTCATACCATGCATGCGTACAGTAGGCTTCCTCATAAGCACCTAGATCTATGACTGCTGTGTTACTTGTCCCTAGCTCTCCCCAGAAACACTATGGATCATGTGACCTACTCATGGAGCCAAACTTTCTTGGTACACAAAGCATCCTCCCACTCCAGACTCTGCCCTTACACAAAGTTCCAACTGTCTCGTGGTGACACTGTCCCTTCCCTTTTGTCAGCTCCCAACACCCTGGTCAAACTTAAAATATTTTAGGAAAAATTTCTAAAGGTTTAGTACCACTAATGATAATGACATACTCCATCTGAACTGGTCAGGCATCATACCTCTAACCTGTTTACCAGCTCTAATGATGATGTGGTACAACTCTGCAATCTCAGGTACCTAATTAACACAGGGTCTTTCTTTCATCAAATTGTTCCAACATATGTCGACTTAATATAAACTCACTTATACCACAGAATGAAAAAAAAAACACACACACAAGAGATTCAAAACTCTTAAACCTCGCAAACCACTTCACAACAGCCTCCTCACTTCTCATGTGGTGATGCCCTGTATCTAGTTGGCCTTAGACACTACCCACAGCCTCCCTAAGCACTACCCAGCGGGCCTGGGAAACAGCCTCAGTACATACTTGAATCGGACCTTCTCTTCCATGTCCAGGGGTGGGTCCTGTGTGATGAGATTTACCAGCTCCTCCATACACTGCTGCCTGCACAGGAAGTCCAGCAACTTCTGGTTCTGAGCCTTACACTCTTGCAGGATGTCATCTTCGTCCATTAACTCTTGCAGTGTCACATGTTCCTTGTCGAGCAGCTTGTCAACATGGGACGTGGTATTCAAGTCAAATTTCCAGAACATGATGGTGGCCACAGAGCTGCAAGTAAGGAAAAAGAGGAGCTCACTCCTCCATACTCTGTTAATCCACCCTCAGCTGAGCTATACCAAAGTCCAAAGAGCTCATCCCCAACATACACATAAACGATCCTGGGGCCTAAGTAACTGCTCATATCTACAGGGCCCTTACGTTCCTCTCACTGACTTACCTCCTCCCCACGCACAGTATCTCCCTCATCTAACCTAGCTCTCTCCTCCCCACAGTGCTTAAGTCCCTAGAGGCTCTCATTTCAATCGTGGCTCTGACGGGCCCACGCATCTTTCTCCCAAGCATCAACGCTAAGAATATCCTTCCATCCCAAAAAAGTTAACTCAAACCAGAAACCTACCCTCCTGGTGCTTAAACCCTCCTGAGTGAACTGAACACTGGACATGTGTTCCCAGAAGACTCTCAGAGCCGATACTCAGCTAGCCAAACTAAGGACAGCCTGTTTTGCTTGAACTTTTCATTTTCTGCAGCCATGTGTCACCTAGTCCCTCAGTTTATGGTGGCCGTCTTGCTGAATAATATCAAGGCTATCCATGAGACAACCATCTCCTTCACATGCACACAGCTGTGTGTAGTCTTGCCACAGCAATCTGAAGATCACCACTAGCCCAGCCCTTCCTCTGCCTCCTCAGCCCTTCTTCCAGCTTTTGCTGTCGTGCCTAGACAAGGCTGACCATCCCCATGGGGCTCACTGTCAAGGTACAGGCCAGGGTGAATTAGCCAACAGTTTTTACTGTTGTGATAACAAAAAGAAAATATGAAACTTCATCTTCAACAAAGCTAAAAGCTTATCTTCAAATATGAATATTTTAAAATCATTTTTACATTTATTTATGTGTGTGTGCACACGTGCACACCATCCAACCAGGAAAGCATACATGGGTGGTGGTCAGGGGACAAGTTATGGGAGTCAGTTCTCATTTTCTATCATATGGGCCCCAGGGACTAAACTCAGATCATCAGTCCTAACCCGGTAAGCCATCTCACTGCTCCTAATTATAGATTCTTTTAATGTAATATGAGGTTATTTACAAAACTATAAGATCCGAGGGGCTTATCTTACTTGGTATTTTTACTTTAAAAAAAAAAAAAAAAAGGGCTGGAGAGATGGCTCAGCGGTTAAGAGCATTGCCTGCTCTTCCAAAGGTCCTGAGTTCAATTCCCAGCAACCACATGATGGCTCACAACCATCTGTAATGAGGTCTGGTGCCCTCCTCTTCTGGCCTTCAGGCATACACGCAGAAAGAATATTGTATACACAATGAATAAATAAATAAATATTTGAAAAAAAAATCTAAAAGATTGGAGCTGGAGTGGCTCAGTGGTTAAGAGTCCTGGCTGTAGATGCAGAGGACCTGGAGACTGAATTCTAGTATTGAAACCACCACTCCCAACAGTCTGTAACTCTGGCAGGCAGTATAACACCATCTTCTGACCTCTGTGGGCACTGTACATCTATGATACACAGACGACATGCATGCAGGCAAAACATCCATATATATAAAATAATGCTTTAAGCCAGACTCTTACTGTGCAGCTCTGGTTGGCCTAAAACTCATTATATAGACCAGGCTCAACTCAAACTCACAGAGGTACACTTGCTTCTTCCTCCCAAATGCTGAGATTAAAGATGTGTGCCACCACACCTGAAACTAAAATAAACTGTAAATGAAAAAAAACTAAGAGACTAGCTGTGGTTCTTAGATGTGTTTGCCTATTTGTGAATCTGAGGTACTGGTGTGTAGCCCTGACACAGTATATATTCAATTAATCTTCAATAAATGTAGAAAATCAATTAAATGGAGAAAGGTGTGTTGTGTGTGTATGAGTATGTGTGTGAGCAGTCATTTAAAAGATTATTCCAGAAAACTAAATATGCGTTAAATAAGCTCAACCCTTACTTCACACCAAAATCCACATTAACATGAAATAGCGCACAGGTTTAATTATAAAATCTACAACTAGAAATTCTAGAAGACAATGTTTTAGAGGCTGGGAATGTAACTCAATAGTAGAGCCATTGCCTAGCATATACAAGGTCATAAGATTTGCTTCCAAGCACTACAGAGGCAGGGGGAGGGATAGAAAGAGAGGGTCAGCAAAATGACACCAGTGACTAAGGGCACTTGTCACCTGTCACCACACCTGAGAATCTGAATTTACACAAGTCCCATAAATTGTCCTCTGTTGGCCACATACAAATTAAAGGAAGCACATGAATACAACACACACACACACACACACACACACACACACACACGAACACATAATAATAACATAACATAAATAAATGTGGTATCCTCCAGACACAGTGGTACACACCTTTAATCCCAGGATTTGGGAGACAGAAGCAGGTGGACCTCTGTGAGTTCAAAGCCAGCTAGGTCTATATAAAGGTAAGACTATTTCAAAACAACAACAAAAAGTAATGTGACAGAGTGTGTTAAAAAGCAAGAAATGAGGGTTGGGGGAGAAGGAAGGACAGAAGGGGAAGAGAAGGGGAAAAGGGGAGGAAGGAAGAGAACTTGAGGGAACGGGATAGATGAGATGGGAA